GAGGGGGGTGCGAGGGAGTTGGGGAAAGGGGGACCCTGCAACGGGTAGCGGTTAACGGGGGTTGGGTTGCAGCGGTGCGATCGGGGGGAGTCAGCGAGGGTAGTCTCGCCAGGGTGGTCGACATGGGAAGGGCAAAGCGCCGCCAGCATGAGCCTGCCGCGGACCATGTGCAGGACACATTCAGGGTCCGCTCCCCTGTGTATCGGTACCAGGTTGTCGGCCAGAAGGTCGACAACAAGGGGGTCATGATGCTTCATCGCACGTTTTGCAACAAAGTTTTCCAAGGGACCCAATTTCAGGCCACGAGGCACTTCACACAGACAAAGTACAAGAAAGACGTCAGCGACGAGGCGTTGTACGAGATCGCGCGACGGACTCAACAGAAGTTTGAGGCCAATCAGATGGAGAGGGTTGCCAGGTATGCAGCGGAGCGCGGACTCGATGTGCCCGACACTGGTGGTGCAAGGGGAGGAGAGGCGGGGCGGCGTCCGGTGGAGGGTGGGGTCGAGGGAGATGGTGGGCATGATGCGCCAGACCCCCCTTTGGGGGGTGGAGGCGGTGAGACGGAGGAGGGCGTGATCCACGTCGATCGTGAGGCGCGTGGCCCAGGCGAGGAGGGAGTCCCGGAACACGAGGACGTGCCAGAGTTTTATCCAGGCACTGGGGAGAGGTTGGAGTACTGGCGGAGGCGAGCAGGCTAGGGAGCTGCAACGGAGGGGTCTTTCAAGAGGAAGGAAGGAGGAAGTGATCTGGCTGCCACCCCCGCAGGAAAGAGGCTTCGCCAGCAGAAGGTGACTGATGTCTACGGTGTCGAGTGGGTTGCTTGCCACAAGAAGGCATTCCTTCGCTGGCTCTATTCCAGCGGGGTGTCCTTCAATGCCTTCCGCAACCAGGCTTGGAAGGCATATCAACAAGTGTTTTTTAAGCACCCTGGCAGTTCCCCGCACGCTGTGCTCCCCAACCACTGCGAGATTGTGATCATGCGGGAGGTGGAGACCCACCGTGCGGAGCTGGCGGAGGAGTTGGAGGAGGTGAGGCAGCCATTCTGGGTGACTGGTGTCACCCTCCTCTCCGATGGGAGAAAATCACGAGACGGGAGACCGATCGTGAATTTCCTTGCCGCTGGCTCGCGAGGGGTCATCGTGTACACGACGATCAATCGAGAGGGCGAGCCGGACGATGCAGAGCACGTCCTTCGGAGGTGGGTTACCATCTTCCACGAGTTCAGCTTCGACGGGCCGCAGCGGGTCAATGCGATATGCACTGACTCCGCTTCTGCTTACGTGGGGGCTGCAAGGGCATTGGCCTCGCCGTCCATGCCTCTTGCACTGAGGAGGATCACTTGGCTCCTGTGCTCCGTCCATGTCTGCAACAAATTGTTGTCGGACATGGGAACGAGTTGCGACGCGTTTGTGGACACAATCACACGCGCTCGTGTGCTGGTGGTGTTTTTCAAAACCCACCAAGCCGCCCTTCATTTTTTAAGGACGCGCAACCCCAACAAGGGGCTTATTCTTTCTTGCGAGACGCGGTTCGCGTCTGTTTATTCCATGCTAGAGAGGCTGTTGGCCCTGCAGGACACTTTGCAGGACATGATGCGAGGGGATGACGCGCGGCCTTTTGCTTCCATCCCGTGGTCCGCCGATGTGTGCGTCATGGCGCGTTGGGTGCACCGACAGATCAGATGGGATATATGGTGGCAGAGGGTGGCCACCATCGTCCATATCATGCAGCCCGTCATGGAGTTGCTTAGGCGGATGGATCGTGGAGGACAGTACATGTCCCTCATGATCGAGTGGACGCAGGATCTTGTTTGCCGTGTCACGGATGCATGCGCCCCTTTGGGGAAGTCGTTCGCCGACTGGTTCATCAAGCGTGTGCAGGCTCGTACACAGCACATGCTTGAGTCGGCTCACTGTGCAGGGTTCTTATTGAACCCCCGCAGGCGACACGTTCGCTACTTTTCAAGCCAAGTTGATCGGTACCATGCTTGGCTTGTGGGGCAAGCTAAGAGGTACATTTTGACGCAAACGGGTTTCGAGTTGGAGGGTGCGGACTACATCCTTGCATGTCGGCAGTTTGAGGACTTCCACATTCAGCAGGGCAGGTTCGAAGATTGGGGCGGGGCGGAGGGGTGTGCTCGTGGGCGCTCGTGCAGCGGCCACCGTGACAGCTAGACGATTGAGTACGCGTCTTGGTGGTCTCAGTTCGGGTCGGACGCGCCAGAGTTGCAGCGGTGCGCTCTTCGGGTGATGCACATGTGGTTTTGCGCCTCTCCAGCGGAAAGGAACTGGGCAGTCCACGAGGGCATTCACACGAAGAAGCGAAACCAGTTGACCTTCGAGAAGGTCGTTCAACTCGTTGAGATCACCGCAAATATGCGGTTGACGGAGTATCGGCGGGCTGGATGCAGTTATGTGCTGCCATGGCAGCGGGACGAGGGCATGCTGGATTGCCAGGCGGGACTCGAGGTGGAGTTAGTGCGCTTGGAGACTCGGAGGGGTATGACGGAGGAGGAGATTGTCCGTTAGGTTGCACTTATTACCCGGGTCGGGGCCTCCGCACCACCCTCTGCTGATGCTGTTTTCGGTAGACGTGCTTGCATTTTTCGTCCCTACCCCAGGGAGGACGACTCGGACGAGGAGCCGGTACCCAAGGCGGCAGATGACCCTGCGCTCCGCATTCCCCGCGAGATCGACGAGACGCACGAGGATGCCGACTCCGAGAAGATGAGGGCACACACTGCACGACAGGCGGCGAGCCAGGCAAAGAGGGAGATGCTAGGGGGAGACGAGGAGTTTTGGGGCCCATTCGAGGAGGTCGCTTCCACGGGCGGCCCAGAGGCACAGGCGACGACCCCCACTTCGACGAGGTGGGAGTCGTCCATGCCGCCACCTCCTACTCCGAGTCCTGCACCACCGTCGTCTGTCTCGCCACTTCAGCCGGCCACGGCAACGGCGGACAGGGAGGAGTTGGGGTCCTCTTTGCCTCAGTGCGGACTTCTCCATAGAGGCGGGGCGGTCCGCCAGCTGAGGTTACGATCACCTTCCCCGGGGATATTGCAGGAGGAGGGGGCACCGTCGACAGCGGCAGTGCAGATGGGGATGGCACCAGCGGCGGTGGCGGATGTGATGGTCGCAGTCGTGGTGGACGAGATAGCAGCAGCAGCAGCAGTGCTGGAGGAGATGGCAGCAGCAGTGCTGGAGGAGGAGGCACCAACGGAAGGAGGAGCAGCAGCAGTGGAGGGGCAGGTGGCAGCAGCAGGAGGAGCAGCTGGAGGAGCAGCAGCAGTGGAGCTGGAGGGGGCAGCAACAGTGGAGGAGGAGGAAGCACCGTCGGCAGCTGCAATGGAGGGGGGGGGGGCAAGACCCGTGGAGGAGGAGATAGCCGCACATGCGGAGGTGTAGCGTGGGGGCGATGACGAGCGCCTCATGCAGCAGTTCCTCATTGAGGAGCTCGATCCGGTCATAGCGGGTATGACCCCGGGTGTGGCGAGGGGGTTTGGGATTTCGGATTCGGAGATGGGGACCCACTTAGACTTTGATTTGTCGATGGGCCTTCCACCTAGTTGCGGCGGGGCGACATCGACGGACCAGGCTCCATCGAGGGACGAGACGGCAGGACAGAGTTTGACGCAGACCGCGAGAGAGAGGACGGCGACTATATCTCCAGATGCAGCACGCGACATCATGGAGCGAGAGAGGGCTCGACTTTTGGCATCGAGTGACCCGCGTGCTCAGGCGTTCGCACGGGCCGTAGAGGAGGCCAGGCTTCGAGAGATAGGGGGAGATTGTGTGCAGGGTGGGGTGGTGGCGGGGGAGGACGTTGCGGAGGAAGTGGCAGCAGAGCCGGCACCCGAGGCTTTGTCGGGTGGAGCAGAGGCAGCGGACGTTGCTGTAGAGGGACGGCCACAGGCGGTGGATGAGGCTGTGCAGGCAGGACAGCGGCGATTCAAGGGGGCTATAGACGCATAGCGCGTGGTCCAGGAGACAGCGACGGGTCCAGTCGTTCCATTCTCGGGCCTGCACTTGGCTAAGGGCCGACATTCTCAGGCGGTTCAGATGGCAGTGCATGGTGTGTCACCACCCATTATCACGGATTTGGGGTCTGAGCCGGTGGTTGTCCCCCCACGTCTTCCTAGCCACTTTGCTCCGCAGGAGGTCCGTCGTCCTTTGGATGCAGAAGAGTTGGCGAGAGAGGCTGTACGCGATGTTACTCGATTGGATCGGCGAATCTTCGACCAGAGGCTCGAGCATCCAGCATGGCAGGCGATCCCTTCGGTTCCATGGGGTCCTGCGTCGCCCGTGTGGTCTGGGTCTACTTCCACCGGGGTACGTGCCATGGGACATGTTTCATGGGTTTCCGGTGGCATGATGGAGACAGCGCCACGCACAGGAGACATGCCACCCACTCCTCCTAGACCAGCTGTAGGTGATCCATCATCGTCGCCTACAGCCAGAGGCTCTGGATTCCCACACACGCCTGGGAGATGTAGGATTCATGACACGACAGCAGTTCAGCGGGACGTGTGTGACACGACGTTATTAGGGAGGACAAACATAGATTTGATTCCACCCGCCATGTCACGGAGCACACTGCACGCCTTCAGTTGGGCTTGGGACCCCCCAGCGCCAGGACGACCGCGGCGAGGGAGGTACCGGCATCAGCTTGTGAGCCTCAGCGAGGTCGCGGCAGAGGAGTGTCCAGTGAGAGCTTGGAGCACGCTCTGAGAGCAGTGACGCATGTCGTGCAGGAGCGGACTCCACGCAAGCGTGGAGTGCCTCATCGTCCACGCCTTGTGCCTGCAGAGGGAGGCGCTGCACTTGGAGAGAGTTCGGGGGCGGAGGGGTTGGGGATGCCTCATGGATCTCGTCGTGAGCAGACCGTTGCAGAGGCTAGTGCGAGGGTTGTTGTGTTAAGGAAGGGAGGAGGCCCAGTCACCATCGAGAAGGATGATCCTGATACGGATGCGGCTGTGCGGGAGGCGGAAGAGGACTATAAGGGCGAGGAGGAGGGAGAGGAGAAGAGCAGGAGCGGTTCCGATGGTGATGACGATAACGACTACGATGAGCCCCCATCTCCATCAAGACCCCCACCGACGCGTGCATCTACACGCTCCGATGCGCGGACTTCTTAATCCTCACGAGGGAGGAAGAGGTCAACATCCGACACTCAAGGGGGTACGAGGAGACAGAGCGGGAAGGGGAAGAAGGGTCGTTGACCGATGAGGCCAACACTCCGCTTCTCCCCTACTCGCACTGTACTTCGTCATGTTGTGAGGTCCTAGTTTTTTTGGTCGTCTGAGTCGTCTCGTCTTGTCTCAGTATTGTCAGACACTCAGTGGTAGTGTGCGTGCTTTACTTGTTGGTGTGTATGATTTTGGTAGCAGTAGGGTGTTCGTAGAGTATGATTTGGGTGTCAGTAGGACGTTCGTAGAGTGTCGTCGGTTGCAGCAGACTGAGTACAGTATCGAGGCAGCTACGACACGACTTGTAGACTATTGTTTCTTGTATTTTTTTCGACATGTGGTGCCAGTGCCTTAGCAGTAGGATACATTGTATCATGTTACATTTTTCATGTGTGATTTTAGTGTCAGGTACTTCGCATCGTTCACGACTTTTCATATACATTACATTTTCCATGTACATTACATTTTCCATGTACATTGCATTTTCCATGTACATTTTCTGTTACGAGTGATGCACGTCGTGTGCACGACGTTGCTTGCCCATTTCTTTTGCGGTGTGTGATTTTATATCTTTAATTGTTGTTCTCATTTTCAATTTTATTTCTTGCATTTGTTTCTTTTAATTTTTTTTTTGGCTTGGAGAGTTCGGTGCTTGTTTTCTTTTTGTTT